TCAGTAATCCATGCAACACACAACACACTCTCTACTCCGTATCAGCACTGAAACCCTCCATAGATTAGGTAAGTTAACTTACATACTCCGTACCTACTAGGCACCTAAGGGTAACCTTGGCCCAACGGACCCCGTGCCTTGTCGCATCACGTGCTAGGCGTTCAACCACAGTGGGTCTCTCGCACAACCGTTCCACGAATGACTGCCTGGATCCACAGGCCAAAACACAGGAAAACGGGCATCCATTGTGTACATGCAGCCGATTAGGCATTTTGTTTACTTTGGCTGCAGCTGCACGAACCAGGACGCGACACCGGCCAAAATCAAGCATACCTCTGCATTTCACTGCACAACAACGCCAGGAAATGCCTCGGGTTGCCCAAGTCCCACGCGCCAGAGGCGTCAAACCGACGTCTGATTCCTTGTCAGCTTCGCCCTTCAAATCTCCTGTAAAGTAAGCCCTTTCCGTCTCGCGTCGTGCGAAGCTCCGGATACCCCCTCATCACAGAACCGCGGTGATACTACTCCGCGCTTGCGCATATGTTGGCAAGCCATGTTGTCTTACAAATATATTGGTTAGAATTCCTTTAAACGACGATGCGCATGAGAGAGGTCAGCGAATGCATTCACGAAAAGCCCTACACGAAAAACAGATCAATGAGATCAAGGCTGCGGCGACGCCCCGCAAAGCCAGCTTAAGGCTGGATGATATTGAAAATGCATCGCCAGGCTCGGCCCTCGGCACGCCTCGAGGGGGGCGCATAGGCGAAATCACTGAGGAAGTCATGGTAGGAGGTGTGTCGGTGACGCCAATCAAGCGAGTTCCGATTCTCGCCAACTTCGAGGAATGGATGAAGATGGCAACAGATAACAAAATCAACGCAACCAACTCATGGAACTTCGCCTTAATCGACTACTTCCACGACATGTCTTTATTGAAGGAAGGTGATGGTGTCAATTTCCAAAAAGCCAGCTGCACTTTAGATGGGTGTGTCAAGATTTACACAAACCGAGTCGACAGTGTCGCTACCGAAACTGGCAAGCTGCTGAGCGGCCTGGCCGATAGCAGCAGCAAGAAGAAAGGGCGAGATGGTGAGGACGCAGAAGGGGACGAAAGCGAGGACGAATTGGATGAAGACGGCAACCCTAAGAAGAAGTCTAAGAAGAAGGTAAAACATGCGGTCCTTCCTCTTCCCACTAACGCCAAGGTCAAGATTGCCCTGTTACTAATGCGCGCATCACTCAGACACAAAGATCATCAGAGGCTACGTTAGCTCCCTCATTCAGTGCGCTACAGCTGAAGAAGTTTGAGCTTGAATTTACTGTCGACCCTCTCTTCAAAAAGGCATCGGCGGATTTTGATGAGGGTGGTGCCAAGGGCCTACTACTTAACCATCTAATGATCGACTCTCAAGGGCGAATTGTTTTCGATAGCAGTGACGATTCCGGCGATGTTGCCCCCATGGAGAAGAATGACGAAATGGAAGACGCAGACCCAGATGCTGACGAAGCTGACATTACTGCGCAGCTCGAGGAGCGGCCAGTGGAAGAAATTGCAGGGGAAGACGAGGAACCAACGGTCGAAATTGACCTTGTATCCCTGGGCCAGAAATTTTTGCCCAGTATAAGCCAACTTGATGGGCTGGATGTATGCCCTTCTCTCAAGAACTTTGATCTCGGAGATTCATCAGGCTCTATGGATATCCCTTTCTTGAGGGCCCCGGATGACTGGAGAGACCAGGACAAGAATCACGCGGCGGGAGATCATTCTGGCATGCTTATTGACGACGACGCTCCCATTGAATTTGACGATGACGACTTAGGTCTTGGCAGCTTCGACATTGGCGGTGATGTTGCGTTCGGTGAAGGTGGCGAGGCTTGGGCCCGTGATGCGGCCCTAGCACCACAAATGAGGATATACGATGCGGAGATGGGCAATGATGGTGCGGACGGGGACGGCTTCGACGACAACGGCGAATACATGGTGTCCATGGTCAAGCCTCAAAATGCCGATAAGATGCATGAGGATATCCTTGGATTCTTCGATCAAGCTTTACAGAAGAACTGGAGCAGCGCAGAGCATTGGCGGATCCGTAAGATCAAGGACGCTAACAAGCCAGCCGGCGAGACCAAAAAACGCAAAGAGAAGGAGCCGTTTGAGATTGATTTTGCTTCACCGCTTGAATCAACCATGGCAAACATAATCCATACACCAGCTTCCAGCAACTCAGTGATTAGTATGCCAAAGAAGGACTGGAAGTCCAAGTCGAGGAATCTACTTCCTGATGACAAACATTTCAATTCCAAATCACTTTTGAGTCTCTTCCTAAAACCGAAAGCCCGATTATCAACCCGCCGAATTGTGGGCGGGTTCGGCCCACGGATGGGCTACGGTCAAGATCAGAAGGATGACAACGAGCAGATTGAAATGGACGAGGCTTTCTGGGCAAAGCAAAAGGGGCCTGAGGACACGGCGCTCCCTGAAGGCGACTACGATGCCAACTTCTTTCAGGACGATGGCTTGCCTTTCCCAGGAGGCGATGACGCAGATGACGACGATCTTGAGTTTGCTGATGCTCGTGAGCACCTATCGCCTGATGGGGATCCAGGCATGACGGAAGCTGGAGGTATCACTGCCATGTTAGGAGGAGAGACGTACACAAATGCGGCGTTTGGCCATACTCTCGTGACTTCGACAAGAAGGATAAGGCCGGAATATGTCAATTACGCGCGTAAAGCCACAAAGGTTGATGTACGGCGCCTGATGAAAGAAATCTGGAAAGGCATGGCCTTTGACCAGATCGACGTGAGTGCTCACTCCGGGTAGCTGTTGGAAGATGGAAAGACGTGGGTTTCTTGATACTAACGACCCTGCAGGCTCCCCCCGAGAAAAGAACGTCTATGACAGCTTCCTCTGAAGCAGAAGAGAAACCACTGCCTTCAGCGGACGACCCAATTCTCAACTTTACTGAGGTTATGAATGGCCTGAAATCAGTGTACCCCAAGACTGCCATGAATGACATATCAACTTCGTACTGTTTTATCTCCCTACTGCACTTGGCAAACGAAAAAGGCCTTGTGATTGATAAATCAGAAAACCTGGAAGAGCTGAAGATTCGGAAGGACTGGACAGCCAAAGTAAGCGAGGGTGACGAGTAAAACGGTATTTGGGTACATTTCACCGATACCTAATGAGGAAATGTGTATGAATTGGATGAGCAGGCATGGGTTCCTATGCATATTGCAATTATTACGCGGATATAGTTTGCATCTTGAACTCTCGACACCGGTTACCAACGTGCGGTGACAAGTGCAGAGAGGCGTTCGTGGGATCAAGTTCGACGTCAATGGGTAGCACAAGGTTCATTTTGCATACGATGGAAGAATATAGCACGAATTAATCTTCAGTGGGTCTAGAAAATTTGATTATGTTGAAAAGGTGACCAGGCGGGTGTTGCAGAAGCCACAAGTTGCGGAAAGGCAGCGGCCACCATGAGCGGTAAAAAAATGAAGATACGCAATCGGTTTGTTACGCTCCCTCTCCGCCTCCGTAGTAACAAATGCTTCGGCCAAACTGTAAGAGCGTGTCGCAATCTCCCATCACCACACCACATCTTCCGTCCCACTCCCAGCCGCGGGACTGGCGACGTAATCAAACCCACGCCTCGCCGGCAGCCCATGTCGTGTCGAAAAACATGGGAAACTGTCAAAATCCCATGTTGAAATCCATGGACAAGGCAAGAACGACGTCTGCGGAGTAAAGTCTCCGGTTCTTGGAATCCTGGCCTGTGATTGGCCACATTCCCCTCTTTCTGGGGTTATTATTGTTCGAAGACCCTTGGCATTGTTTCTTCATTCTCAGGAACGCATTGCGTCGCTTGGGCCGGGCTTCTGGGTTCAAATCTGCTTCTGCTTTTGCACGTCACTCTGCGTTTTTTGTGCAGCTTCGTCTTTGTCATTGCCCAATCCATCCCTCCATCACCATGGGTGTTTACCAGTCAGTCATTTGCCAGTTTTGAGCGCAAGCGCCGCCATGCTTCTTCGATTCCATACTCGTCGGCGATGTGACCGCTTGTCTCCACGACCCGAGGGAGCACTCTCCATTCACGGTATTTAAGACGCGAACCAAACTTGATGGTTATGTCGGCATTACTTTTCTTAACATACTAGAACCGCTGCAACGTCTCAAAAACATTGTCCGTCGAATTTTACCAACCTTGTTGTTCTGGCTGACATGTACAGTTTGGGTCTTGACGACTTGAGTGCCTTCCACAACACATCCTGCGCATTTCCTCTTCTCCGTCGTATCCTTCATTCGTCTTGAGCCTCAGGTCTATGTGTCCCCCGTTCATATATCCTATTCCTGTCGAAAATGTCCAGAAGAGCCTTCGCTTCCCGTCGTTCAAGCCCGATTCTACTTTCGCTGCGCATACATCCTCGGTCAACAGACATTAGTTCCACAATTGCCGCCTTTCGCCTCAACGCCGGCCATAATTTGCCCAGGGAAATCACCAGTCTGCAAATATGACATTTCAAAAACAAAAATAGAAAGGAAACAAGGAACCTTAAGTCATTCATATTCATGACATAGCCGCAGCCGTTGAAGATTCGAGGGTATCACCAATGTTCTCCAAACCAACTTGTGAAGCAAAGCACTCCATCTGAGAAAAGACGACACACTCCGTCATTCGCCTCTAAAACATAAAAAAGAACCTTTTCGTGTCAAACCATCTCTTCAGGGCTCGTTAGCGGCATGGTCGAAACAAAGTCTGGTCAGAATTCGCAAATAGGGCACGGCATTACCGCCGTACACCACGCCCAACAATCTCGCCAGCTCGCAATAGAGCATTCATACCGTCGAGGTTATCCTTCGTTCCGCGAGTTTGCCTTTGAGACGCCAGCGTCTCATCGGTTGTCATGACCACGTCTCCTTCACTCGACTGTTCAACCCTCATGTGATGGAACGGCGATGAGTCGGATTGAAGCCTTAAGGACCACAGTTAGTTGGCATATCTGACGATTCTGGGGATTCGGGAGAAGTATGTACCATAACCGCTAGGACCATGGGCAAAGCCAACGAGAGACTGCTGCGTGTTCATGGGACCAGTAGCGCCGTTAAGGATTGGATTGGGTTGTTGTTCATGGACTGAAGATCCAACCAAGGTGCGATCTGAGAGCAAAGCATGAATCGTTAACGAACCCTCCCCCGGTGGTCGACCAAAACTCCCCATCGAACTGCCTGATATATTGGTGCCATTCGATGAGGACTCATGCCTCAAAGCAGGAGTTCGCCCCCCAGAAAGGAGAGATGCACTGTCAAGAGACGTGCGCGTGGAGCTATTTGCTGCTCGACTAGGGTGCGAGAGCCCGTCAGCAACGGGGTGAACAATCGCCTTTTGTCTAGAATCTAACATGTCGGAAAGGGATGGCAGGTGTTGATGCATTGAATCAGCCCGACCTCTCCCACGCATCGTGGGCTGATGCCAGGAAGGATGATGAGCATCCGTTGGGCTCCCGTTATCAAACTGCAGTGCCCGTGGAGATGGTCCAGCATCGTCGTACGAATTCTGGGCTGATATTGGCGTTGGTGCAGCCGAAGAATGAGGCGATTCGGCTAGCGATGTTGTGGAATCTACACATTCTCGTCGTGTTGGTGGTGGTTCACTACCCCGAAGCCGCTCGCTGTTGCTACCACTAGCACTGGAATTTGTGGTGTTTGGTGTTGCACTGCTGCTCGTACTACCATGACGAAGCCTGGCAGGCTCAACCTTGGCTCTCTTCGAACCATCTTGCCCTTGTTGAAGTCAGTTCCTTTTCCTCATCTTGCCTTCTCAAGTAAGGAAATAAGCCAGTACACTGGCTCACATCCGCTAGGTGGGGAGAACTCAACTTACCTTTATATTGCTTGGCCTGCCTCTCTTTGAAGTCATGGAGATATTGCGAATACTTGCGGTATTCCGGTGTCTTCTTGTATTCCGCCAATTCTCGATTATATTTCTCTTTCGCGGCATTGGCCTGGCTCTCAAAAACGTCCTTTTCAGCAGGTTGGAGGCTCTGCCAGTTTTCTCCTACCAACTTAGCAATCTCTGTGAATGTGAGATTGTGGTCTTTAAGATTCTCTCTCATTCCTACAAGAGATTTTATAGTCAGCCCTTGCCACATGGCTACGATCTGATACCAGAAGGGGGCCTACTGTTTGAGAACAAAACATATGCCGACGGCGGTCGCTCGGGGGAATTTTCATCTGGCTAAATAATAATGTCAGCTTACAAAGCTGCGCCTACAGAGATTCGATCTTTTACTCACCTTGGGATGCCGTCGGTATTTCCTCTTGGTAACACCGTTGGACTCGGCGACAGTCCCATCTGGTCGGGATGAATCTCGCTTCACCTCATCTTGCTTTGATTCATCGGATCCCAGCTTAACAGATGAGCTCAACGATACACTAGGCGCAATCCCCCTGGCATTTGCGATACGCCGTTGCAACTTCTGTTGCACAAGTCATTAGTCACCTCGCCATGGAATCAGCGTGGCACGTTAGCCTGCACTTACTCTTCGATGGCCTAATTTTACACCCAGGGCATCTCTGTTGGCAAATGTCAGTAGACTAACATTCGAGGTTGGTTTTACCACCATGTGGTGTGTCGTCGTCGCTTACAGGTCAGACTCTTGGATATCAAGGATGGTGTCCCAAGCGTCAAAGCCTTGATCAATAAATGCATTGAGATATTGGGACAGGCCCAAGTCTGCGAAAATTCGTTCTAGTTCTTGAGTCATACAGCCTGATTTCAGACCAAATCCAAGATGTGATCTTGTTCAAGAGATGAAAGATGCAAGTTCGGGTTTCGATATGGCCAAGTGGTCATCATCTAAACATGAGCTGGGCAAGTTGCAGGTTGGTCGAAGACCAAATATGTCGAACGATGGTATGCCAAGTTAGGATGGAATGTGCCGACACAGAAGGTCGTGCGTGATATTCCAGAGCAGTTCTGGCGAAACGAAACACTAGTTACAATGCCTTGAATAGGTAAAAGTGGTGTGAATGCGCGCTACGTCGAGATTGGTTGTTTCGGTTCAGCAAAGCCTGATGACGACGAGGGGCGAAGTTGTCAACAGACAAAAAAAAAGTCGACGCGACACGATGAGTGTTCAAGGCCAACGAGGCTCTAAGCTTGACACCTAGACCAACGATGTGGAATGGTGATCTGATATTAACAGCAGGTCGTAGGAAGGGACGAAATTGACGATATCGAAATGGCACCGGTGCAAGGAGCCGAGCGAGGTTGCAAGGGCAGAGGACGAGGATAAGACGTTCTGTCGAGGATGGGCAGGCTAGATGAAGGTCGCAGACACAGCACGTTGGACGAGATCCGGCATGCTAGTGTGCGGATGAGGTGGGCAATGATGCATACAATGACGACGAGGGATAGATGCACGACTGTGTGTGCTCCTGATCGACTGCTTTTGCTGGGTCAGTACGAGCCGGGGAGCCTGGCTGATTGGTGGATGACGACAGTACTCGAAGAACGGCCAAGTGCTGAGATGCTTTGGTACTCAGGTATAGATGGAGCTTACAGCGGCCGCTTGTTGCTTTTGTTCAGTCAGTCGTGGTGGTCTTTTTCCGGCCTAGTAGCCGTTGTTGGACATGACTGTCTCGAGGGTTTGCCAAGTTCTGCCTGAAAGGAGAGAAATATGCGCAGTCTCCGAGCTGACAGCGCTGATTGCAAGCAGAGATTGCAAACGAATGGTTGTTGAAATCGAAGGGAGGAGGTCCGTCAAGAAGAGATGATAGTCAAGCGCGAGAGAAATGCTTCAACAAAGCCGACAAAGCTCTAACGTTCAAAGGAGACGGTGCCATGATAACTAAGGCAGACAAGGTCTAGGGCAACTCACTCGCTGGTCACGGTGGAGAGAGCAGAGGAACGGAGGGACGAATGCTCTCTCTAGCTTGTACTCCGTCTACGACCAAACGAGATGAGGACGGATGGCTGGCGAAGGAAGCCCCTGATGGGTGTGTGGCTATACAAGGTACATTGGATGTACTTTGGTGGGCTGGAGCATCCACATCACTTTGTTTTGACAGACATTTTGCGTCACAACACCATTGGGCGATTCTCAGCAGGCGCAAACTAGATGGATCCTTTTCTCCATCAAAACTCCTGAGCGATGGATGGATGGTTTGACGAACCGGCCTTCACATACATACTCACTTCTCTCTCATGCTTGCGTGCCTCGTTACACGAACAGATGCAGCTATCTGGAGTCCGTTCCGCTGCTGCCAGCCCAGCACCTGGAGGGTGGAATGATGCCGGTCTTGCGCTCCGTAGTCGGGAATAGGATAATGGCAGACGCAGCCAGCATAGCTTCCATGCGCGCAAGATGTAACTTATGCCATTGCAAATCATGGCGATTTTTGTTGGAGAATCTGATGGGCGCCAAGCATGTCCGGCCGCTGGGCTGGGGCTCTGCGACTACAGTAGCAGCAGAGTCAGTGGTGTAGACAAGAAACAAGGTAACGTGTTTGTAAGTCGGGTTGGACGGACCCTTGCAACTCGTGGCAAGCGGCAATCTCAATCGCAATGGCAATCGCAAAAATACCTGTGCGTTTCGTGATCCCATTTTGGTAGTGCCGATGCGAAGGGCTGTGTAGTACTCTGTACTCGGCGCTCGGTTGCCATTCACCCAACGGCTGCCTCGAGACTCGATCGAGTATTCTGGCTGTGGGTAGCACGGAAAGTCCGGAGAGGCATACTTGAATAGTTAACATTGACCTGTTTGCGGTGGCACCGAGCTGCTCCAACGTTGCTGTTACCTGTCACAACAGCTGACTATCACCCACACGTTGGTAACCGTTGGCGTATGATGTAATGATGGAATTACTCGAAGAGCTAGAGCCCTCCCCAATTTTTCTACTAGTGGCCGATGACGCATGAGACATCGGGCTTTCATGCCAATGCCACGGCTTTCGTTGATCGAGGATCGGAAACAAAGACTCTCGCAGGGGAAAAACGAGATGCTCATTTCGAAGCAAGCTAGGCATGGTTCTACCCGCCAGTGAGCAGGACAGGCCACGATGGTGGTGATCGGCAGCACCACAGAAAACACCACAGTAGCGACCACAGTAACTCTATGTGCACAAAGTACACTATACGCCTACTTTCGAGAGTTGGGGATGCAGTACTGGACGCACGAGGGCTCTGAGGCTTGCATCCATCGCAACCACCAAGGCCATTTATGCCGCTGCATGTTGTTCTCCCCGGGCCAACAATCCTACATTGCAACACGCCACTTCACAAGCCTTGCAAGCCTTGCAAGCCTCCTGGGCAGGCGGCTCACACAGATAGTACTATTGCAAAGAAAAGAACTCGTCAACTTCCTCCTAGTACGCCCAGTGCAGACAGGAATCAAGTCATCATCCCTGCCATCCTGATGTTGAGGGGGCATACCTTTCACCCTTTAAAGTGGACGTACACAAGCAAAGTACTCCGTACGCTGCGTACAATATATCAATCAGACTGGGATACTCCGCACTCCGTTCTAGTCGGCTCAACCAGGTCCGTTTGGGGAAGGGGAGTTGAGATGCATCGAATAGTGAACACTTGTCAACCATGGGTGCGGGCTTGCTGTGGAGCAATGGGACAAGCCGATGCTTTTCTTTTGTCTGGGAATTCTCTTCGGAGAATTAAGCAGGCAAGACTCGTGCCCAGCGAGCATTATCAACCCAAGCTTAACCTTGCGGTTCCCATGCTGCTTCATGCAAAGTTGAGTTGAGACGGGCATGATGCAAAAACACCGGTACTCTGAACTATAGTAATGCGAACCACAAAAATTGCGATTGTCAGTCAACTTTCCGATCATGTTCCTGGAAATCGCAATCGCGATCGTATCGATGTGCCTAATTGTGTGTTTGGGCGATGTTGAGGTGGGTAAAGATAGAGTATGACTGTGCTCCGTACGAGCAGGAGAGCGCGCATCTTTTCAGCTCAGGAGAGTACTCGGTGCGCGGGAAAGAGCTTGGGACTAACGCCATAGTCGAGAGGCAATGTGCTGTACGGTCCCAAGTGAGTGACGACGGGTTGTGGTTGTGTGACTAGCAGCGGCCAAAGGCTAGTAGTGTTCAAACGCCACTGAAGCAAGCCGATCCATTTGGCCAGAGAACCGAGGATGAGGTACTACAGTGACCGTCATCTGAGCACTGGATTCCGTCTGGAGAACGGTTCAATTTACGGAGCAGTTACGGAGTACCTGCTGCACGTCGTGCGCAAATGGTGCCGTTGGCGTGGTGGTTCTGCAATTGGAAGAAATCTCGATCCCGCGTCCCACAAAAGCACAAAGCCGCGACTTCGGATTGGTTCGGCAACGGCCAAATATTCATCCGCAGTCTCTGGCCTGACTCTCGTCGGTACCCCTGCGCCATGAGATCCAATGAAGTCAACGCAACAAACATGGCTTGTCAAGACACATTCGTTTCCATACGCCCGGGCGTGAATTAACCCAATTCAGCGAATCGGCGCAAGGACGACATCCGCGAGAATCGATGTTTTTATTGACGATCGCAAAAACAGTGCCATGCCAAATAGACATCCCATGCCTGGATGCTAACCCCCCCTTGCGCAGCCACCGTGTGGGAGTCTGGCATCACTAAGGGGCCCCCACGCCGCCATGGAACCATGGAACACCAACAGGCACAAAATGCCATGGCGCTGACAGCTTCCCCATGATGAGAATAGTGAATCGATCAGGAATCAGCAACCTGCGACTCCGTTGACAGACAAAGCTACGCGAGAAACGGACCAAAGGGTTAGCGTAAGGGAGGGGGTGTTTGGTTCCTCATCCAGAGCCATGACGGAGTAGACGGGCGATGGCATTCGTGTGCCTTATCGTCGGTGGCTACAACCATTCATCTTCATCAACATCCCTCGCGATAATCACATGGTGTTTATTCATCTATGGATCCGGAGACCCCATGACAATTAAGTTGCGCTTGTTCGTATTCCCTTCCCTTGCTGTCCACACAGTGGTATTCCAAAAGAAAACGTCTCAGCATCAGGGATGGCAGCAGCAAACGTGATGACGGAGATTCCTGGAAAGTCATATCGATGGTAGCCGCGCAGCGCGTATTCCGTTTTGTCATGATGAAACAAGCACCCGCGACTGTGAAATTTCCATAAAGTACGGAGTAGCATCCCGAGCCTGCTAAGAATGTTACGACAGAACTTACAGAGCTTCGGGGACATCGCCACTACGGAGTACCGACTATGTCTCAGTGAACCGGAGCAGCACTCCGTCCGAACCGCGCTTAAAGCCCGCGTGCCAGACAGAACGCAGCCCTCATCCAGCATGGCTCCGGTTGACGGGATGATGATGGATGTTCTGGCCCTGTGGCCAGGGGTTGGTTTCTCCCCTTGTCATAACTACCACATTCTCACCATGGGGATGTGAATGGGATTGTGATAGTCCAACAATCAGAGATATTTGGATGTACATACACCTGCGATCTCGATCCCATCATCTAAGCCCAGATGCTCGCACGAAACGGAGATCTCAACGAGACCGCACTAGTTCGCAGTAGCCACAAAGGAGGAAACGGTGACCCAAAACATCACCGTCGGGTCAGCTCACTTTTGCCAGTTCTCTATGGCTTGGGTCGTCTCCAATCTCCAATCTGATACAGAGCTGTAGTTGACAAACGCGCACAAATACAACGTCTTGCGGTTCCAAGAGGCGAGCTTCTGAGCAACTGCGGCAGGCCAACACAGGCCAGCAAGTGATGGATGGTTGTCTGGCGGGCATGCAGTGACAAGCGGTAACAGTGTGGCTGCTTTATCCGAGCGTAAAAGTAAGGTAAGGTATCTAGCATTCCTCCTTTTTTTGTGCCTTCCACTGAGTTCTCGTCGCTGCTGCCGTCACTGGCTGTATTCTTGCGCATCTCGATTCATCACAAGGCAACTTCGATTTTCTTGCCGGCCCGCGAGGAATCCATATTCAAGACTTGGCAGCAGCTTTCCCTGTCACATTGAACACGCCTTTTCAGTGTGTCCTATTATTCGACTGCCAAATATTCAGTTAGGTTGGCCCTCCCAGGTTTTCGAGGCTCGCCCAGAGCCAGACTCCAAGTACTCATTCCCAGCCCAAGGTACGGAACTCCGTACGGATCCAGGCGAAGCATGGTTGTCGGGGCCACTATATTGTACAACACGCTGGCCATGCAATCCCGGCAACAACGAGGATTCTAGACCCGTGGGCCGGGGGGACGGGGGCCAGGGGTGTTGCGTTAGAGACGGATGCCCTGGTGACTGGCGCGGTACCTTCAACTCGGAAACATGACAATTGCAATACTATTCGAATACTTCTGTTCCTGGGGGGTTCTTGGCGTTGAACTGCCGCTTTGTCGGGCCCCAAAGCCCATGTACTCCTTATCCTATTCTATCACACCTATACGCACTTACTCCGTCTCCGTACGTCGACATTGCATGGGGCTGGATTCTGGTTGGTTCCCGAGGAGGGAGAATGGCCTGATTTTGGTTTCTTTTTGCGGCTACTGGATCTGCCCGCATGAGAGTGCATGGCCTGCAATACGCATGTACGGAGTACCGAGTATACGCACATACAATAGAATTTTCTTCCGCCTGAAACCCCTGAAACCTGGGGGATTAGGCATTGGGGAATGAATGTGTTGTTACGGTAGTATTCTGAGCATTTTCAGGTGGCCGCGGGCGCGCCGACCGACAAAGCACCGCCAATTACCTAGTCACGTTCAGCGTGACTATCGTCCAACTTACATGCAGCCCGTCACTTAACGAGTCAATACTCGGTAAGGAGTGTTCGCCCGCCGCATTGGAGGCCGGGACGCCGTGCTTGATGCATGCATGTATGGACAGCTAGCTGAATACGGTGGTGCATGTTGTTTATTTGTTGGCGCCGGTGCAGGGTAGGCTGGCGTACGCGAACAACGTCGACGCATCGAAAAGTTACCAGTCGTATAAGGACAAGCTGTGGAGCCGTTGTAAATTCCTACGCAGGAAGGACGGATGGCTTCGGGACGGAGATTACAAGTAGATCAGAGCAGGCCATGTCTTACCAGCGTGGCGCAGACATTGTTCTGTCTTGCTCGAGGAAGCGACACGTATTCGAAGGTCTCAAGTTTACTGAACCCTGAATATGCATGTCCGGAGTTTACTCCGGGGCAGCGGCGGAGTGAGGCATTGTCAGACCGCATTCCACGAAGCGGGCCAGCAACATGGAGATGTGGACGACTCGGTGTGTCAATTGCGGTCTGGCACGACGGCCCTGACCGACAGACTAGCTCATCGACTAGCTCGAGGATTCAATATACCCTTTCATAGCACACATTAGAGGAACCCATGGGCTGTTGCGAGATACTACTAGTTCCGGTTCCAACTCGGATATTATCACTGATTACGAGCTAACCTACACCTCAAGTCGACTTACGCATCAACATGAAGTACCAGTTTCCAGACAGGTCTGAATACACACACAGAGTACCTCCCCAGTTCAACAAGAAAACAATCTTGGATAGTCCACATAAACCGCCATACGACTTCCTTGCGAACAACATCCCTTAATCCCATAGTCACCCGAGCCACCGCTCAACAGTCACGTGAGATCGCCATATTCGAATCCCACTCATCTACACATTGTCAACGCAAGAAGCATTTTAAAGCAGACTCAAAAATAAATGACGCTCTCATTCATCACTCCGCAAAGAAAATTTCCAAATGTCCCCAGCAAAGGAACAGACTCCCAACAAGGGGAGCGACTGCGAACCCGCAGATCTCGCTCAGGTATCAACCCACTACTTCCCGCCTTCCGTCGTATCTCCAGTCGCTCGTCGAACCGAGTGCTAACCCCGACCAGGCATACCGCGACCTAGCAAAGTATGCCCCAGAACTCGTCCCAGCCTGATATTCCCCTCCTGTACTGACCGCTGTCGCAGGGGCGAACAGGCCGCCACGGCTCTGGAGGCGAATCTGACTCATCTCGAGTCTAAGCTCGATGCCATGCTTGCGGCGTTGGAAAAAAAGGCCAGCGGTGCAGAGGGCAAGGTACAAGGGGACGGGGAGAGTGGCAAGTAGCGCTACATGGCATTTGGTTTCGAGAAGCTACAGGGAAAGACAAGGCGGCATGGTTTGCATGTTCGGCGTTGGGGCGTCCTTGACGATCTACACAGAGGTGACATACATAGAACTCACGATTAATCACAACCTGTAAGAGTCATCTTACAGGCCTCTTTATGATGCTTGCTCCAATAAAACGCCATGTTCTTGGGATCAAGATGTGAACAAGACAAGGCGCTCCACGCGCTACTTTCAATACTCGCTAAGTACAGATTCCCACACCTCTCCTCGCCATGTAATATGATAATAGAGAAAACTCATCGTCTCTCGGATGGAAAATTAAAAAAAAGAGGAATAAAAAAATCGGGTTAGTCACTCGGAGTCCACCTCCGCAGGATCAAAAACGTAAAAAACAATAAAAAACGAAACTCATGGTTCGCTATGCCATCTCCCCCCACTTCTTCAATATCTCTCAGCAAAAAGAATATGTGACGCAGAAAGAGAAAGGAGGATTTTGAGGTGAACCGCTCTTTTCTTTACTTGATGCCCTTCAGCGTGAGCGTTTCCATCAAAAAACAAAAACGACGCGGCAGCCAAGTATACCCTCAGCAGACCATATGAGCAATTCCAAGACTAAACCCGATTCGAGACGATTGCAACAAATTTCAAATAAGTAGGGAAAAAAAGAAAATGAAAACAGACCAATGGTAAGAGGGACCCCATCCCCGAAACACCGCTATGTAAAGTACAGATAATAAAATGGCGTGAGAAGCATGAAGCGAGTATTCTTTTCATCTTTCCAGTCCCCGGCAAAATCATGCAGCGGCTTCTGTTGCTTTTCGCGCTGATGTAGAGGAGATAATACCAAGCGCATTGAGGGCGCTAATGCAGACAATCAAAGGAGTCATAATGAATTGGCCCGGAGGAACGTCATCCAGGCGGCATGGTGATATAATACATACGCACGTCAAAGATCAATAGTCTTTTGGCAAAATTAGCGTGGTAAGACCTTTACCGCGACCAAAACACACAACTAACCTGAGATGCTACGCATGTCAGAAAGATCACGTCGCTGCCTAGCCCAGGGGTCGTCCTCCTCTGCGGAGATGATGGAAGGACTCTCTCCATCTTTGTTTGTCACTGGTTCTCGCGAGGTCATGGACCGGTTCTCTAGTCCCGGACGAAGCAACCCTTGTTCCCCTGCTTTACTGTTTCTCGACTTTGCGTCGGCCTGAATTGCAAGCTCTCTCTCCCTATTCTTCTCCAACAATGGCCCTCCTAGCGTGGCGCACTTGAGGATAGTTTGGATGAGGTGATTTTGTTGTAGTGGTTTAGAGAGATACTCATCCATTTGAGCTTGGATACACTTCTCACGATCACCCATCATGGCGTGTGCAGTCAAGGCGATGATTGGAGTTCTGTGTGTGCCCATACCACGTTCGTAGTCTCGGATCTTGCCAGTAGCTTCAAATCCCCCCTGTGAGCATTGTGTTAGCAAAGCTTGTTTCAAGATATTGACAAGTCAAAGCACAAGAAAAGAAAAATTAGAGGATGTAGTTAGTCAACGTACCATGATAGGCATTTGAACATCCATCAGGATGACGTCAAACTTCTTCTCCTTGACAGCTTCGACAGCCTCCCACCCATTACCCACGACAGTAACCACATGATGGTATTTCTCCAAAATCTTGACCGCTAGTCGCTGATTCACAGTGTTGTCCTCGGCGAGTAAAATCTCCAACGACTTGGTATTATCAGCCAATGATGGGGTTGCTCTGTTCTCGAGCGCGGGTACCATGCCGTTGCCGAGATCGACCAGCGTGCATGGTGTTGTCATGTACGAGGTGATACCTAGATCGAGGCATGATTTCAGACTGACATGGACAACAGGTGCCAAGAGAACGATCGGTAGGTACTTGAAGTCATCTACTGCTCTCAGTCTTCTCGCTGTGTCGATAGAGTCGACAAGTATGGCATCATATGGTAATGCGCCCCCCGCCTTAAGCCTGGTGAGTGCAGAACTCTTCTCGGAATCAACCACAACAGGGTGCAGCCCAATTTGCTCCAACATGTCCTTGATATCTGCACCAGAGCCTGACTGGGCCTTATCGACAAACAGAACCTGGTGACCACGATACGGTTTAAGCTGTTTAAGGGTGCCTTCAGTATCGTCGGCAGCGAGTCTGACTTTGCACGTGAAATGAAATTGGCTGCCCTTGCCGGCCTCACTGAGCACCCACAGGTCACCTCCCATGAGATTAACCAGACGTTTTGAGATGGATAAGCCGAGACCTGTACCACCAAACTTGCGAGTCATGGAGCCATCGGCTTGCTGGAATGTATCGAAAATGAGATTGAGTTTGTCCTTGGCTATGCCAATACCAGTATCTTCAACGACAAACTCGATGGCGTACTCTCCCACGCCCACCTCGTGCTGATTCGCCCTCTCTTTGATAGTGAGACTGACTTCGCCATGCTCTGTAAACTTAATGGCGTTGCCCACAAGGTTGAGAATAATCTGCCTAAGACGGAACGAGTCTCCGATGACATGGTCAGGAACGGAACTGTCCACCTTGTAGGTAAGGTCCAAAAACTTCTCATTTGCCTTGACAGCCAGGGTCTTGAGGGCATTGAAAACAGTTCCTCGCAACGTATACGGGATCTCTTCAACCACCATTCTCCTAGCCTCGATCTTGGAAAGATCCAAGATGTCATCGATAATCGTCAATAGACTGTTGGCAAGGTTGTTGACGATATTGAGCATCTCGCGTTGGTACTGCGTCAAGTCGGTGTCGAGCGTCAGTTGAGTCATGCCGATGATGCCGTTCATGGGCGTTCGAATTTCATGAGACATGTTTGCCAAGAATTCAGATTTGGTCTTGTTGGCCAACTCGGCAGCCTCTCTTGCCTGCGTGTTTCTCTGGATACTGTCTCGCAGGTTTGAAATCATTTGATTGATCTTCCGCTTCAGCTCGTCCATTTCGCCAGACGCCTCGACATCGACGAGTTTGGTAAAGTCTCCGTCAGTCGCTAAATTCGTGATATCGGAGAAGGCTCGCACTTGGGTCGTCAAGTTACTAGCCATTGTGTTCACGTCCGTGGTGATTTCCTTCCACCGTCCGTTCAGGCCAGCAACGTCAGCTTGAGCACCCATTTTCCCATCAACACCCACGTCCTTTGCGACTCGTTGCACCTCGTAACAGAAACTTGACAGTCGTGAGACCATGTTGTTGATTGTTTCTTTCAATACTTGTATTTCCCCACTGGCTTGCACGTCAATCGTTTGACTCATGTCTCCGTTCGCAATAGCCTGTGTGACAGCAGATATACTTCTCACCTGAACCGTCAGGTTTGAAGCCATTGTGTTAACGTTTTCGGTGAGGTCTTTCCATTTCCCCTCAACATTGGCGACTTGTGCCTGGCCACCTAGCGTGCCGTCCGTGCCGACTTCTCGCGCCACCTTGCTTACTTCCACGGCAAATGTGCCCAGACGGTCTACCATTTGATTAATAGTGTTCTTCAGTTCCAGAATTTCACCCTTGACCTCGACGCCGATTTTCTTGGTCAGGTCGCCCTTGGCGACGGCGGTGGTGACTTTTGCAATCTCTCGCACTTGTGTTGTCAAGTTCATGGCCATGCCATTTACGTTCTCCGTCAGGTCTCTCCACGTTCCTTCAACATCATGTACAGTGGCTTGTCCACCGAGGCGGCCCTCGGTACCGACTTCTCGCGCAATTTTGGTGACTTCCCTGGCGAATTGAGAGAGTTGGTCCACCATCGAGTTGATCGTAGACTTGAGTTCAAAAATTTCGCCTCTGCAGTCGGCCTGCACCTTCTGGGTGAGGTCTCCCTTTGCGACAGCTGTGGTGACCTTAATAATGTCTCGCACCTGAGTCGTCAAATTGTTGGCCATGGCATTGACGTTGACAGTCAAATCATTCCACATGCCCTGCACCCCTCCAACATCGGCTTGACCACCCAGAATTCCTTCAGTTCCGACATCTCTGGCGACTCGAGTAACTTCAGAAGCAAAAGTTCGCAGCTGGTCCACCATGGTGTTGATGGTTTGCTGCAGTTGAAGAATTTCACCTCTGGCTGGTCGTTCAATCTTCTTGGTCAAGTCGCCGTGTGCGACGGCTGTCGTGACGGAAGCAATTTCACGCACTGCATGATCCCCATGTTAGTTTTCGACGGCACTGACTGTAGCACATGGGACTATCCCCCCTTGCCCAGCCCAACAAAAGAAAGAGGATGACCTGGCGTACCTTGATCGGTGAGGTTTTGAGCCATAACGTTTACTAATCAACAGAGAGAATTTGTGTTAGCCACAAAGGGACAAAGAACAGACAAGATACATGTAGATAGGTCTAAAAGGAAGTCGGAAAATATACCGTTATCTGTCAATTCCTTCCATGTTCCGTCGACACCGCCGATACGGGCCTGACCTCCGAGTAAACCTTCAGTACCGACTTCACGGGCGACGCGAGATACTTCGCTGGCGAAGATCTGCAGCTGATCCATCATTGCATTGATGGTTCGCTTGAAGGTTGTAATTTCGGGGTCCATTTCGACTGTATTCATGCGGACCTTCATGGTCAAGTCACCACGAGCGACGGCGGTGACGATTTCACCAATTTCTCGCAGGGCCTTTTGGAAAGCCTCATTGGCCTTTTGGTGTTTCCAGAGCTCACGTTCAAGAGTAGCCACACGCTCTTGCTCAAGCATGGCGAGAGCCCGTTCTTGCAGCTCTTTTTGTTCGAGTAGTTGGGCGTTGACGCCAGCCAGCTCCTGTCGTTGGCTATCGAGGAGCTTGGACTGGTCGTCCACATGGTCGCGCAGTCCTTCCAGGGCTTCCTTGGTCAGCTGGCGAGGCAAAAGTTTCGGACAATCCAAGCTACCTTGATGCGCATGGGCCAATTTCGACTTGTTCGAAATTACCCCTCGGTTGCCCGCGGGCGATGAGCCCGCGTCGTCACCAAAGAGGGAGTCGTTGACTTCATTTGGCGTTTCGGGAAATACGGCCGTGGCCGATGCACTTGCTCTGTTCTCTAGCTGTCCCAGTCGAAGGGATAGTTTCTGGAGTTCGATTTCTAGAGCTCGTTTGGCGGCGGTTTCAGGGCCAGGGAGGGTGATTCGGGGTCCGATACTGGCAGATATAGAAGAGGACGGCTTGGGGTCGGCGGCAAGAGAGGACACAACCTCAGCTACCGCCACCAACACGGAGTCGTCGACCATGTCAGCCAAGTTGATGTGACTGCGGTGCGGGCAGTCGGGTGATGGATCGGGCACCAATTATCGAGGCGGGTTGATCAAAGAGAAGCGGCGACAGTCACGTCGCAGCGAGACAACAGAGCTAACTGCGTCCCGAACAGCAGATGGCTGGCCAAGAAAGGAGACGCAAGAAAAGAGAGGAAAGGAGGAGCCGTAGGGAGGGCTATTCGGTAGCTCGACTCGACAAAGGTCCAAGGGCTGATTATCAGATTATCCACTGGCAGGCCAGCATCATTCACAACGGTCGGAAGAGGGTTTTTGTTTGGTCAGTCGACAACGAGGACTCCCTTTCTCACGCACTCTTCTCTACCCGAGTCGACACAAGCTTGCGGGGCGGCGCAGCGCGACAGGTCGTCAATGCAAGATGCAAAAGCAAAGGGAAGGCCGGAAGGCCAGAGAAGGCAAACAAACTCAGATCTGACCTGATCCCGCGCTCGACAAGCCGGTCATCAAGAGTGTGAACGAAGCGAGAGGAGGGATAGGAATCGATCAGAAAAAAAAAGGTGTGGGAGTGATTGCATGCCGGGATGTTCGAAGGAACAGGGACAGGAGAGAGGGAACATTGGACTGTGTGCGAGTGGAGGCGTGGGCTGAAGGGACTGGACTTCCAGAATATGGAGTCTGCCATCAGGGCGGGCAGGCGGGCAGGCGGGCAGGCGAACAGACACCAGACACCAGACACCAGACTCTATACAGCACTAGGTTATAGGTTATTTGCTCTGTATGCAAATTCAGGTCGACCCTGACCCTGACCCTGATGTGAGCATCAGCCGGGGTGTTACATGCACCAGACTCCATTCCTCTGTAGGCGGCACCAGGCATCACGGGAATGACTGCAGTGACTACGACTCTTGCTGGTCACCAGCACGGCGCAAAGGGAGGGTTACGGCTGAGGATGCGGTACTGAACATTATCAATGAACGGCCTAGCTGACCTCTTGACCTCTCGACTTGAATCTTCGAAAGGCCGCAAGCCAACAATGGCTTCCGTCCAACGACCACAATCGCCAGTCCGCCACCAGACGTTTATCCGTACCGCCAGTCACGATGCGGATTCCCGCTCCGACCCGATTGTCGCTATGCATTTGCTATGCCAACGTTTCCTTGGCCCAAACGTCTGATATGCTTGCTGTGTTGTGCTGTCTGCTGTGCTCCCACCACGCGTATCTTGGTTGCATTCCCGGCGAGGGCAAAACAGTCGACTGCAGTGTGCTGTACTCCGTACTCCCTCTCCTTACATCGTCAGCGGGGACACTTGGCTCCATACGGACCAGGCAGACGTGCGATTCTTCGATGGAGGTTGTAGTAGTACAGGAATTCGGCGTGATGCCTTGCAGCTGGCACTCTCATGTGCATCTGTCGTTCTCTGTACATTTCTTTCCGGTTTTTCCTTGCTTGGAAAACGGTCCCAACAGATCAATCAACAGGCGGACAGGCTCGTGTATCATCGCCGGCATGGAGTACTTCGCCAAGCCATGCAATACTCTTCAACTACCTAGGTATGCTACTGAAAACTCCTGGACGGTCAACTGTACATACCGACTTGTCAGAGGCTGACCGAGCACCGGAGTTTACTCTGGGTACGCTGTAGCCCAGGCCAAAGCTCTTTTGGGTCATGACAGAAGCGCAAAAACGTAGATTTGGCAGACGGACAAGGATGCCCCCTCGTCCAACTGCCTTGTAGGGGAGCCTCGAAAAGCCACGGCGTGGAGACGGAATCTGTCGGCGACCAGAGACCACCGACAGCCAAATACGAACTGATCGATCGGCCTTCTCTGTGCGCGACTAAGCGCCAGCCCCTGCTGGCCCAGTGGACGTGTGGGCGTGTGGGCGTCAAGTGTCAGGTGTGTGTGTGTGTGTGTGTGTGTGTGTGTGTGTGTGTGTGTGTGTGTGTGTGTGTGTGTGTGTGTGTGTGTGTGTGTGTGTGTGGTGTGTGTCGTGGACTTGTGGACTTGTGGACTCGTGGATTTGTGGCCCGGGCAAGACCCCGTGAGGGCCAAGTAATGCGGAACGTCTAATATGTATGTACGCACGGAGTACGGAGCATTGTAGTGTGAGAAGTGACCATTTGGCTGGCATCTGCGGAGAGGGAACGTCAAGAGACAAAAAAGCTAAATCCATCAATCATCTCATGGCCATGTTGGAGTGGTTGAAAGGTCGAGGCCGCGAGAGATCGTGGGCGACAACCGGGGCCAAAGGTATTGGCCACACACCGACTGACTGATGCGCCATTGGCTCCTTCCCGTTCTGCTGGTCAGAGTCGGACAAACACAACATTTGAGCTTGGATCAGACACTTGAGCGCCATCAAGTCTCATCTGTACGCAACGCCTGTGTCGTACAACACTCATCCGACACTCCATCTCATAACCACTCTGAACCAAGTGCCTCTTTACTCCGTGCTTGCCTGGGTACATTACCGCGTGCTCCTCGGGACGTGCCCTCGCGGCTGGGCAGAAGGTCCCTACTTGATGTACCGATCTGGTCTACCTACCTAGGTACCTTGTGCGCAACCATGCTCCAGTCAACTGTTTGTACTCTGGGAGAGGACAGGACACCTCGCAAGGCCCTCCTCCGATTCGAAGCCTCCCGAATCCTCAACTGCTCTTCAGGGTTGCTTGAGACCTTTGAGCCATCCCGAGAGGTCAGTTGTCGTCACATGCCCTCCAATGTCCTCCTATTCGATGCCACCGAGTTCGGCGAATAGATGCGCATGCCCATGCTCTGCCGTGCCGTTCCCTCCCTGACACTGCTCGTGGAGTCTGGTGCCGGAAGTCCAACACGCACTCCGTACGGAGTACAAGGCCTACAATATTGTACGGAATACGGAGCTGCATCATCCAGGATGAATCGGCTCCAGGAAAACTTGGCACGCCTCCTGTCATTTGCGCTGCAGTGGCAGTCCTTTGCCATGTAGCCGAGGAGGGAAAGGTGGTAGCACCACTTCTAATTTTCCCATCGCCTCAGCCTGCAACCTCGATGTTGGTTTCTCAATGCTGTCGCCCTCAGCGGTTGTGATCCAACACGTTTTTTTTTCCTCTTTGCCCGCCGCTGTCGACCTGTTGATTTTACCCAGCTAGCGCCGCAGCCAGTGCATTGGCAAACATTGGCTAACCTGTCTCCGCATATGTTGGTGGGCATTGAATTGTGGAGTTTTGCTGGAGACGCGAAGCGGCACCACAATGTTCTATTAGCTATTATTGTACATCCTATCGGGCAAGGCGAAGAGTTCACGGCCAGTTGACTCTTTATGCACGTGTGACTACCCACCGCTTGGATACATGAAATTGCCCAAGCAGTGTCATGCCATCGTTATCATTACTCGCTTGCCTTATGGCTCTCAGAGGTTTGATGTCAACCGCGTCTGCTCGGTATATTCCAAGAACGACGACCCTGTTCTGATTGATCCCAGGGATTTGGAGGAATAAGGAGATCCGAGTTGCTGTCTATCAGGAAATCCACCCACCGTACCAGGCTTCTGGACATCCCGTATTACCGGCTGTGCGATACCAACGGCCAAGCCAAGTCACTCTCATTCTTCTGTCAACAGAAAGGCAACCGTATAACTACTCCGTGTGCATAAGTGATTTCTCATGGGTTCTGACTAGTACTAGTCGTACCATGTACTAGGCTCCCTTGTCAGTCAACCCTGAAGCGTGCAGCGGGCCGTTAATGCATGGCCATGGAACGGATGGGGGTTCTTATTCAACTGCAACATCAAGTCTCATGGACCAAAAACACGGGGCACACGTACTGTGCTTTTGCTAATGTCGAGATGACCATTTACATGCGCAAAATGGGTATATGGTGAATTGCTTCCGCCATCAAAGGTGCTGCTGGCTTGTGGTGGGACTTTGAATCCGAGTTTCGTGCTGCGATTCTCGCCAACCGCCCACGCAACACCAGGCGTCTGGAGCATCACCAAATCCGTCGGTACCGAGTGCTCAGAGTCATCGCTGATTCGCAACAAGGCGGCTCCTAGTCGTGCTGGAAGGCTGGTGATTCAACACTACCGCAAGTCCAGAAGGGCTGGATATCTGTTCTAGACCCAATTGCACCTTGTCCGTTGCGACAAGAAACCTCGCAGCTAACAGAGAGCATTCCAACCATCCCCAGGGCTTGGGAGGGCACGAGCCATCATGTTCAGGCCATCCTCCACCCTCTTCGCTCGTCCCTGCTCCCTGCTCCCTGCTCCCTGCCTCCCGGTGATGTCGGCATTTGGCTGGTCATTGTGTACTCGGCTGGTCTCGACGTGATGATGACCTCGGAGCGATACCCCAGACGGTGGCAGGGTGGCTTGCTCGCCCGATCTACACCACGTTTCAGCTTTCCGTCTCTCGCCCTAAAATGACATGAAAAAGGGTCCAGTGCAAATTTCGTTTCCAGCTTTATCAACAATGCCCCAGTCATTAGGACAAAGTTGGACCATTGGCGCCTGCGACCGAAAATCTCGGTCTGAATCTCCACCCGTCAGATGTGGGGAGGGAGGCACTGCAAAGGGCCCTCGGAGCGAGCCCAAATGGCCCGTCTGGCAGCCGCCTACGTCACTTGCCGCCAAGCCGTCTTAACCCATTTTACTCTGTGTGATTCGCTACATGGCGGAATGGGCTGACTTGGTCCTGTGCCCGTCACCTTTCTGTCGGTGGACCTCCGACTCTGCTTCATGTATGGCCTTAGGGTGCTTAAAGCGCTAGCTAGGCCGTGGGCTGGAGGGAGGATGCAATTAACCTTTTGGCGTGGTGGCTTTTCAGGGACTGACCAAAAGCAGTTGGCTTGGTTTGAATTCAAAAATGTTATTTCGAGTACCACGAATCATGGATTGTATTCTTGAGAGCAACCCCTGGTGACGGTCCCGGCGAAAATATCACTTTATTGTCACTAACCAAGTTGGATATAGGAGCATACATATATTATTGCATGCGGTACGGCGGAGCACCGAGTCCTTGCGCATTTGAGAGAACCCGAA